ATTAAAGTTGAGTGTTGTAGTTTTTTCACTCCATGAAAGCAATGAATATGAATTTCCTTACAGATGTACAATGCGCTAAATATATTAGAGGAAAAAAGAATGGAACTCTTGAATAACTTGTGAACTAATGAACGGATTTTGCCTTACTAGCAATCTAGATGTTTGGAGGATTTGTTAGAATATGTTAATTAGTGCAAGCGTTATCTTAAGTTACAAAATCAGACTCAAAAACGTACTTGTCTACATGAATATATCTTTTTCGAAAGTTATAGATTCCTGACTCCTCAAAATATCAGGGGTATCTGCTATCTGGAAAATATCGTCCCGATTGCTTAGTCAGGAGAGCGAACAAAAATCTGGACCCCTTAGTACGTGAATAAAATGTATAAGGCTTATCTATGGTTACATCCATGATTTATCTATGGTGTTCGGGGACAAACTAAATTTTTGTGTTCCTTACAATATGGTCTATGACTTAAAAGAAAGGTTTTCTTTAATATTTTAAATTTTAGAAGAGGTATAAAGTTAAATCAACCACACCTGGCATTGTTTTTATGAATTTTACATTGAATAAGATTTTGCAACTTTACCTAAGGGTTTTTAAAACGCAATAACTCCGTAAAATTTTAGTTGAATCGATTTAAAATTAAACATTATAGTTTTAATTGCACTTTTGATTGCGTTTATAGCTTTTATTGAATGATAAACGATTTTTAAATAAATTTTTTACTCAATATATCACTAACTTATTAAAAATAATAATGAAAAAAAGTTTGTGTGAAGCAAACTAAAATTTTAAGACATTCTATTTCATTTTTATGTAAATTAAATGAAAAATTAAATTTATGAAGCCTACAGTGGGATATCAGCAAGTGACGTAGTGTGGGAATCTCGATCCTGATTGGTTGTTGAAACGTGGTATTTGTTTACGTTAGAAACTGTTCTTCCCATTCTATTTCGAGTAAACCAAGCCCATTAATCATCAATTCTCTTATGTGACACATCCTAAGTTCTTTCACAAAAATTCTCTCTCAAAGATTTCAATTCTTTCACTATATATTTCTTATTTTACACAAAGACAGGCCGATGTAGAACATAAACTAATTATGCATCGGGGTTGCCAGGTACACAAAACAAAAATGTATCTCAGTTACAAAAAATACGTAAACAAATAATAAATTTGAGTTAAGTAAAAAAAAGTAGAATAGAAAAAAAAATATTTTAACTAATTTGATGTGCGATACGGTTCTGTGTTTAATTAACTTATCCTTAATTAACATTCTAACTTATATAGAGAAACTTTGCTCAAATCGCTTTGTTTGCATTTTTTTTATTTAAAATATTAATTAATTTTGTAAGAACTAGTCTTATTTCTTAAAATTTATTCTTACTATATCAACAAGATCGACTGAGTTACGTATATTGAAAAATAAGACTTTTGCCCTTTAAAATAACCAGTTGAACCCTGTCTTTCAACATAAGATAGTTATATGGCATTGTTGAGTAAAATTAGAATGATTTACCGATATATTGACCCCTGTATTATACCATCTTACAGTGACAATAATTTCTTTCTGAGAAAAAAAAGCAGTTAAAGAAATTCGAGTTGGAAATCGTCTGCTAAATAATGCGGCTTCGTCTCTTATGTTTTCAAAACATGCTAAAATTCCACCATGCGTTAAGATAGTCTTTTGTTGTTTGCATGGCGTCTTCCAGGGAATTCCATCTTACAACCTTACCATTTTGACAACATAAACACGTCCCCCTGCTCCGCTCATTTTTCTCTTAAATCGAGAAAGATATTTTTTAGGGTGACCCGAAGTGGCAACAGCGTGTGTGGAATTCCATTGTTGCTAAAATATTCTTTTCATGCACTTTTCTTTTATCGCTTGAGCCACTGCTTTTCAAGAGGATTGAATTGAAGTTCTTTTTGTAGAACTTTTTTCTTTACAGAACTTTTTTTTACTCTATATCTGTGACTAAGTGTAATGTCATGTGTTATTAAATAATGTGTGTTTTGCAACTTAAACTCAAAATGATGTATTTCAAATTTATCATAAATATGTGTCGTTTCGTCGTTTACTAAAATATTTTTTTTATATAATTTTGAAAATTAGAAATGGAGCAGCATGGCATTTAAAATTATTTTAATTTTAAATCCAACTGAAAGGAAATTAAACTAATGAGTCAAGCCCACTTTTCCTGAGCTTCGTGCGAGCAATCTGTTTCTTTACGTTCAAAGCAAATCTTTTACCGAACTCGATAGTTCATAGAATATGATCTTAATTTTTAAGTTTTATTTTTTACTGTTTTTTTTAACACTAGATTGCCTAAGGAGGTCATTTTGACTGCTTTTAATTTCAATTAGTTTCAATGACGCAATTTCATAGAATTTTGTACAACCTATTTTTTTTATTGTTAATATTTACTAATAACTTGTTATATAACGGTAAATAATATAAAAATTATTAAAAATAAATTAAAAAAATTTTTTTTAGACATTTATTCTTTTACAATCCAGTCATTTTGACAGCTTTTGGGCAATATAGGTATATACTAAGTTTCAGTCTTTCAGTTAAATAAATATTTACGCATAGTACTTTTGAAAAATATATCAATATATAACACCCAACTTTAATAAATTCTTTAAAGTTTTTTTTTTAGATTAAATATTTAAAGTTTAAAAAACTACTTCGTCATTTCAAACAAGTAACTTATCGTAAGTTTCTTCTTTTACTAACTTTAACAATCATTGATATTATAACTATGCGCTCTTTTATGAAGACCTGCAGAATGTAGTCTTAATTTTCGTTTCTGTTTCATTCCATTGCAAAAAATGTACTTTTTTTTTTAAATCAGTTGCAGTAGCTTTTAATAGATAATTTTTCATTTGAAATATTTGCTGTTTAAATTTAAAACATACGCATCTTATAATGGCATTCAGGCTTAATTTATTAGTCGTTCATGCGTTTCTAATATTGAAGCGAAATCATTTTAAAAATGACATGAAAGCTTTTACATTAAAATATGTAGAAAACACACAAAGTTAAAGGTCAAGCTAAAAGTTTAACTTTACAAAAGTTTCTTTTTACTATTTTGATTTTAAATTTCGTTTTTCTGTTCATCTTTCCTTCCGATTCTCCACAGGTCTCAGTTTCACTTTCGACCCGTCGATCGCGCTAAGGTTTCAGTTTCTCTTTCGACAGTCAACAGGGGCAGTAATTTCAGTTTCGTAATGCGTGTAATGCATGCATATCAAGCATATGCAATATGTGAAATCTATGAATTATTAAAAGGAAATTTAAATTTATGCTTCATTTTGTGTATTTTTATACCAACAATATTTAAAAAATCCTATGAAAATTGAATTTTAAAATGTAAATTTGTAAATATCGGAATCTATAATTAACTTATTTTAAACTTTTATTTTTGCATAAATGTTAAGTTTTATACCAAAGAATTTATATCAATTGAATTAAAACATTGATTAATACCTAAGAATTAAAACTCTGGCCCCTGACCTCTAGATGCCCCAGTAATTTTTCGCTTTCTTTTTTTAAAAAAATTTTTTATCTTCGTAAGGCTATGTTTAGCGCGGTATAACAGATTCCGATTAGCATTCCCTTTAAGCTTAACATTCAACTCAACCTCAATAAATTTATAAAATCATAAGAAATGCAATTTTTTTTCTGTTCAAATTGGATTTGTGTAGAATTTGAACGGTGAAAACTCTATAAGTCTCCTTCAAACGAAAGAAATTAAGCTTGTAATAATAATAATAAAACATTTAAATGTCTAATAATCATTCTAGTTTAAAAATCAATAATTTCGATCATTGTTTATAATCACTAATGTTATGACATCAGTTTTTTTCTGGTTATAAAAAATTGTTAATCATTAATCTATTAACTATGCAATTTGAATAACAGCTACATTTTTTTTTATCTGTTTAAGTAGCGATCTATTGCAAATTTTATTTGTTGACTTTTTTTTAGCCTCGAATTAAATTAAGACTTAAAACTAAAATTCTTAAAAAATGATGTGAAATTAAAAAATGATTCAAAGTTTCTTTTAAAAAAAATATTTAATTTATTATGTTTTATTATAATTTAAGATGTAAAACATTAACTTAAACGTTTTAATATATTTTGCCAAGACTCTCTCCTGTGAAGATTTGATGAATGGCTCAGTGCTAAATTAATCACTAAATGTAATATTCATGGTCGGATTATAAAAATTTCCAAAAAATTTATATGTACTCAGTCAAAGCGAATCATAATAATAATCATAAATAATTATAAATAAATAATAATAAAAATTAATTGAAATATATAATTTATTAATAATTTTTATTAATAATTATTTTATTAATAATTATTTTTATTTTTAATTATTTTATTAATAATTATTTTCATTAATATTTTTTATTAAAAATTTATATTAAATATAATTTATATTAATTTTTATTAATAATAATATATATTAATAATAATTTTTGTTAATTTATATTAATAATAATCTGTATTCATAATATATTAATAATTTAGCTAAATATTAAGCATACCTACCAACTCTTCCGGATTTTCCGGAAGATTTTATTTTCATATTTAAAGTGGTAGTAAATATATACTATTTTTTCTTTTATAAACTTAATTTTTAAATGATTTTGATCACCACTATTCTTTCAAAAATTACTATCATGGTTGTTTTAATTCCATTTTAATACCACTGGGAAAAATGATACTGAAAGGGATTAAAAGTTGACAGGTATGATATAGATACTGCTAAAATTTTTTATTTGCTTATTACTTGTATTAAATTTTTAAAGTAGCACCAATTTGGAATTTGGATATGAGAAAATCGACTAAAAACAGTTAAATTTGGAGTAATCTTTCATCTTTTCTTCAAACTTTTTCAATGATTCTTCTAAATTATTAATTTATAATATTCATGATTTTTATTTGTGCAGGTTTTAAATTTATTTATTTTTTTAATTTCAGGTTTTTAAGATAACAGACCATTTAACCGAAAGATGGGTAACAGAACAAGTAAAAAGGCTGAGATAACTACGCCTCCTACGAAAGATAAGAAATTAAAAAGAAAAAAGAGCAAGAAAGAGGTAGCATCTGCGAATGGTGATACTGGTATCGAAGAAGTAGGCATTCAGGTAATTTGAATTTGTTTTGTTTTAAAAGTTAGCCATATATTGAAATGAACCAGATCACGAGTAGAATTTGAAAATTTATAAAAGTATATCCTAAGAACTTAATTTATTAAACTTAAATTTTACTCTTATCATTTCATTTAATTTGCAACTATTGTTGCTTGATATAGTGCTGCCATCTATGAAACAGATAGTGTTAATTTTACTTTTCTGTTTAAAATTTTAAAAGAACGGTGTTTCACATATTTACTTTGGTAAAATTGATGTATTGATACGCAACAAACAGCAATCATGTTCAAAGCTTGAAGAAATTTTAATAAAGTATATCTTGTATACGTATATTACAATTCCTAACTTAGTTTTCGCTGTATACAGTGCTGCCATCTATCAAGTAGTATATACATTGAGTGTTACGATATTCGCAATTGAATAATGAGAACGTTGCAGATAAATTTTGACTTACTTAATTTTGCTTTTTTTTCCCTCGTTCAGTACATAATTATTTACCTCTTTGCACCGAATCGAACTTTATAAGGCTCAGAATGTGTTATAAAATAGATGAGTTAATTCAAAATATATTTTATTTTATATTATCTGAAATTTGTAATATGCAATGTAGGCCTTTTGCTTTGACATACATGAATATTAGCTAACTTCTGGATGTTTTTTTAAATTTTATTTTTAATTTAATATTGTATATAAGAAGTAGCAAAAATATTAAAGCGAAAAGGGGAGGAAGATTAAAATTTTTGTCAAATCAAATTGAAATTAACTCCAAGTTAGATTAAACTTATATGAAAAACAGATAGATGGCAGCACTGAAAAAACGTAGTAAAGATCATAATGTAATTTGGAAGGCAAAAATTTTTTTTCTTCTCTCTCATCCATTTTTTTTTATTAAGGTTTATATTTTAAATATTAAGATTTATTTATTCTTTTTTTTAAATATTATTTTACTCAACAATAATGTAGCATATAAATCACCAATAAGTTTTCTCACTCAAAATTAATTTTTGAACCTCGTGTACGGGTTTATGTCTTAACTTTTTACCTTTTTTTCTTTTAAAAACGATTCAATAAATGTGTTTTTATAAAGATCTTTAGCAATTATTTGTTGGAAGTTAAAAACTTGTCTGAAATTTAAAGAGGAAGCAAAGAGTCAATAATTTTTAATTTATAGATCTGTAATCGTCAATGTGATAAATACAATGTCTGCAGTGATAATTACCGCAATTTTGTATTCTATTTCGATTCAACCAAAATAAAATCTATTCAAAATTCTTTAAATTTTAAGAGAAATAATTTTCTATAAGCTTTTATGTCCTATTATTTGTCTCATTGTATTTTTCGGTTACTATGTTATAACATTGCAATATAAGCTTAGATTAATTGTAATAATTACTAAAGAATTGTTTTTTAATCAATAAAAGTAATGTAAAGTTTCAATTCAAAAAGAAGTGTTAGCTAATTCTATTACAATTATTTCATTCTGTTTTTACTCCTTTACTTCAAACAAAACAAGCCGCGCATTCATTATTTTTTTCTAATGCCGTTTTTATTTGTTCAACTGATTTAAACAGCTACTTTATACGTTTTGTGATAAGATATTCCGTTATTTCTGTCGATATGTTTGAGAATGTTGATTACTCATTCATATCTGTAAAAAGAAGAAGAAAAAAAAGAGAAAAAAATCCATTACCAGCTGTTCTAGGAGATATTTGTCACACATAAGAATTAGATTTTTTTTCTTTTTCTCTTGTTAAGGAAATTTTTAAATCTTATTTATTTTCAGGATCTAGATGGTATTATAGACATTTTATTTAAGTTATATTTTTAAAAAATTTTTAAGATGTTTTCGGTTTTGTTTTTTTATATTTATGGGAAAGCACAGACTACGCAAGAAACTGTTACATTTATGAATTTATTTTAGTTATAATTGCTTATAAAATTGCTTTATTTTTTTTATTTTTTATAATGCTATGTTTTATTTTTGTCTTAACTTAAAGGACGGGCCATTGCACTTACAGATCGATATTATGCAAAACTTGCTTTATTAATTTTTAATTCAATCTAAATGATGGAATATAGCATTTAAAGGCAGATTATTATAGTTTCAATTCAACTTAAGACAGGATATTGCACTAGCAGGCAGTAATTTTTTGTGTAAAATTTACCTCTCTGACCCAACATAAAGAAACAGATATTGCATTCACATTCAGAATTTGTGTAAAATTTGCTTGTTTTAAATTCAATCTAATGGAGGGGATATTGCATTTAAAGGCAGATTTTGTGTTCTTTTGTCTGGTACGTGACGTTCTTTTGTCTGGTACGTGACGTTCTTTTGTCTGGTACGCGACGTTCATCTGCCTCGTACGCGACGTTCATCTGCCTCGTACGCGACGTTCATCTGCCTCGCAAGCGACGTTACTTTAGTCTCGTACGGGACGTCCTCTTCTAAAGCACCTACAAATTATTATTTTAAGTAAACAGAAAATTGCAAGTATGCAACTATGTCTTGAATAAGTTTGTATTAAATGTGAATAGCTAAAAATTGTTAATCATATTTGTAACGAAACATGTGCAAAAAAAATTCAGTTTACCCTCCNTCTGTTTGCCCCCCCCCCCTGACGTAACAGTATCTGAATTATGTATTAAATTTTATAATTTACTTGTGCAACCGCTCTTGTAATTAAAAACAGGAAATTTTATTCACTACGTTTAAGCTTTCCTCATAGATTAAAGTGCAAAATTTGAAATTTCTTTCTTCTACACAAAATAATCTGAATTATTGCCATGTTTTTATTGCAATATAATTTTTCAATCTTATTTTATTTTGAATGAATGGCCATGAGTGAAATTTTTGACTTTCTATGTAATGAATTTTATTTTCTTCTAAAGTTGTATTTTTCCACGCAAAATGAAGCAGCAAATGCAAAGTGAATGTAAATTGAATTTTAAATATGCATGAATATTTTTCAAAGCGTGAATGGAATCTATTTACAAATGTGTGTCCAGTTTGTCTAATGAATCTTCTCTTTCTACGAAAACGTTGACAAATTTAACTCTGCACTATGCATGCAAATTTAGTGCTATATATAGGTGAATAATCTTTTTTGTTCTCTTTATGAATGAATGAAATCGCGAATCTAGTTATTTTCCAAAATTGTAATTATTCCGATTGAAAATTAGCAAATGGACTCACCCTGATAATTTACTTTTTAAAATACGAAAAACCTTTATATTTTTTTAAACTTGAACGTTCGTTCAGAAAATTCGAAGCACAAGTTTCACTTTTTGAGGTAAAAGGACTCATGCCACGTGCGTGCGCTCAGAATTTATCGCCTGCGTTTTCTTTCAACAGCTTCTATCGGAAGAGACGAAAAAAGAATAAAAATATTTTTCTAATCGCAGGAAATCGAGTAGAAAAAAAATGCTTTCTGGGAAAGCCGACCGCTCACTTTTTTTCCGCAGTTCTTTAGCAGTCTAGACCAGATCAACTCTTGCGGCAAAAAAACATCACATGACTCAACAGCGGTGTCATGTGCTTTCAATTACACTAATTCTTATAGATATCTTAATTCGGTTACGGTCAAATACTTGCTAGGTATGCCGGCTTTTTGATAATTTTCCTCGCCTTTTTACCGAAATCGGCAAACATTGATTATTTTCATTGTTGTCTTAAAGATGTGCGGGAACATATTGTTGAGGCTTTTGGGAAGGTATCGACGAGGACTTAGACAGGTCTGTTAATTTTGTCTCTATTTTATTATTTTTGTGCACATATTTCTCTGCGATCACAGTTAAATTCTGTTTATTGCGCATATTTCTATCCTATCACGTGTTTCGAGTCATGCTCATGTGATGTTTTAATATAAAATTTTTTAGCGACTTGCATATATTTATTAGCTTAGTCGTATTACGTTTTCGGTATTAGTGAAATTGGAGTTATGAAATATGTTACGAGATAATTGTATTCATGTGGAAAATAAAAATCATATTTGGTCATGATTTTTTTTACTTAATTTTAAAAAAATTTATTGATTTTTCTTGGGATTAACCTTATTTTAATTCTTCAGGTGTTACTAAATAAAGATATCGTTGGTTAAAATTATATCGCAGCTTTGATTAAAATAAAATGTGTGATTTTATTGAAAGGTATTTTTAGTTTCCTATTATTAAGCAGAAATTGGATTCCGTTGCTTAACATTAGTACTTTTAAAAGAATCAGTTCCTATTTTTTTTTCGTAGTTGAAAAAATAAAATATGTCTATATGTGGGTGTATATATGTATGCATGTATATGTATGCACGTATATATATGTGCGTATGTATATATGTATGTATATATACATACATATGTATATATGTATGTATACATATATACGTGTATGTATATATGTGTGTATATATATGTGTGTGTATATATATGTGTGTATATAAATGTGTTTATGTGCATATAAATATATATGTTTGAATTCTTATCGATATCATAATATAATCATCGGTATGATATCATAAACATTGATATCCTGTACTCTCAGGGGTCATTCTACTGAAATTTATATTACCCCAGAGAGTATGAAAAAGCACCATAGTGGAGAAAAAAAATCGTGTAATTATCTAAATTTTCTCTCTCCATAAATTACAGAAATAAAAATATGCCCTTCATTGAAAGTTATTTAATGCTATGAAACTTGGATTAATATACATACACACACATACCATATATCTTGGTGTATTATTCTACTCCTTATTTTTGATTACGAGATAGCAAACTTCTAGAATTAGTCGACGGCTGTCAGTAGGCTGATTATTAGTCATAGAGACGTCATATGTCAAGCAATGCCCAGATGCGTGACAAATTTTTGAGTCAAATATTATTTAAAAAAATTTTTTTTTTAAAAAGGGGTTGGAGGAATTTCGAATTTTTTGGAAGGGAGTTAAGATTGTATTTTGCTAGATTCACCACAGATGAGGTCGAAGAAGAATCCATTGCAGATTGGG